GTAGTGATAGGGGTTGGGGTAGTGATGGGGGTAGTGATGGGGATAGTGATGGGGGTAGTGATGGGGGTAGTGATCGGGGTTGGGGTAGTGATAGGGGTTAGGGTAGTGATGGGGGTAGTGATGGGGATAGTGATGTGGGTAGTGATGGGGGTAGTGATAGGGGTTGGGGTAGGCTTGGTGGTAGCTGGTGGGTGCAGGGAGTAGCAGAATGGGATAAAAAAGAAGGCATGGCGGCTGTTTTATTGGAGGACAGGAAGCAGGTTGTTGTTGTTTTGGTGAAGATGGTTGCTCTGCGTGCCGCCGTGGGAGTTCCAGTGGTGGGGAGCGAGAAGGGAGGAGAGCGAGACTGGGCGCAGTAGGGCGAGGGAGGCACCCGGAGGAGCGTTGGAGATTGTGAGCGTAGCAGGCCGGGATGGGGGCAGAGGAGTTCAGAGCAGTGACGAGCGGTGAGGTCAATGGCTGGGGAGGCACTGGCTCGTGTCAGAGCCAGATTCACACACTGGCTCACGGAGGGGCGTGGCCTCACTGAGGGGGCGTGTCCTCACTGAGGGGGCGTGTCCTCACGGAGGGGCGTAGCCTCACTGAGGGGGCGTGGTCTCACTGAGGGGGCGTGTCCTCACTGAGGGGGCGTGTTAGACACGTCCCCCTCAGTGAGGCAGATGTGATAGCTGCCTCCCCTGGTGTTTTTTTCATTGCAGTTTCATGACGAGATCAGCCTAAATATCTTTATACACCTATACGTGGAATAAGTTACCTGGAGTATGGAAGGCGAGGACATGACATGAAGGGGTCTACAAACATTACATTGGTGACATACTGAGATAGTAACAGGCACGCGCTTATTGCCCGCGCTCCATCCAGTTACTGAGGGGTTGCGCAATCAGAGGGGAGGCTGAGCTCGTCGCTGGCTCACCTCTCGTTTCTTCCTGTATTTGCAGCGGAGCTCCGCAAATTTGGCGATTTTGACGATAAAAATTATGGGAATCGTACAGCAATTACATTTATAACAGTGGGAAAATATTAATATTTATTTTATTTGATTATTCTTTTTTTGTTACTTTTCGCCACAGCTTTTTTCATTGGAGTATGTCAGGTGAGGCTCTGCCTCCCCTGCCTCCCCTGACGGCACGTCCCTGGTTCAGCGATGAGAGAAGCGAGATAAGATGGGGGGGGTGGGGGGCGGGGGGGGGCGGGTTGCAAGACCACGGAGCGATCTCTAGACGAGATAATGATTCTGATCGATGATCACGACGACACACGAGCTAATACAAGTAAAAGCGAGGCCACGTTGCCCAGACGCGATTGTCTCGCAGGTGACGGGGCGCGTGGCGGCGGCGGCGTGTGGGTCATCAGCGCCGCCCTGGTCTCATTGCAGCGACACGGGCAATCTTTGTTCGCGGGACACCGCCAAAGGCGAAATCGATAGCCGATCTTGATTACATTTACGCTCATACGCGAACGCCCTTTCGCATTTCTGGAGATTAATCAAAAGGCGTTTCGAGGCAGCCACTAAAAGCATCAGCCAACGGAACGGAGCGAGACCCCGGGACAATCGAGATTCGAGAGACATGCTTGCTCACGTGACCGCCATGAGGCCTCCCGATATACCGCAATCGAACACAGACACTTCCCCATTCATAAAATAACATCCAATGCATTTCCTTGGGGAAATATATCAATAAAATAGCAATTGTCGAGGTCTAAAGGTGGGAGGTGGGGGGGGAGGGAGGGTGAACACCCCCATCGCCCCGCCACCCCCCCGCCGTGTGAGATTCTATCACTGAGAAAATAGACACGCGGGATACGGAGTGAGGCTCTGTCAGGTGAGGGTGACCGATTTAAATTATATCTCACAACACCTGACATCGACAATTGCTGGCAGGGCCGATTCGGGCTGCCTCCTCCAGCGCCGTTCCCCCTCTACCCCCCCTCCTCTCCTTCCCCCTCCCCCCGCCCCTCCCTCCCTTCCCCAGCTTGTCTGCGTGCTCCCCCGAGTACCGCCGAGCTCGGAGATGCGCGATTCGCATGGACGAGGCCTGAGGACCCCGAACGAACGCACGCGTGAACGGGAACCCCGCGCCTGTCCCGAGTTGTCTCGCGGTACAGAGAGAGAGAGCTGGAGGGGGAGGGGGAGAGAGAGGGGGACAGACTTGCTCGCGTGACTTCTCGCCACTCGACGGCACGTGACTCTGCAGGTGTTGTGTATCCATAGCTCAGCCGTGCTAATCCGAGTGTGGATGCCAAGCAGAGGTCGCAAACGGGTTTTGATTCCTTACCCGGACCCGTACCCGGCTGCACCAGGGTCGCAAATGGGTACCCGTACACGTACCCGGCCGGGTATGGGTAGCCGTTCCCTACCCGTACCCGTACCCTACCCGAAATGAGTGACAAACGGTTACTTACCAGTGACTCACGACCTACCCGTACCCGGCCGCACCAGGGTCGCAAACGGCTACCCGTACCCTTACCCGGCCGGGTACGGGTAGCCGGGTATTGGGTAGGGTACGGGCATCGGGTACCCGGTTGCGACCTCTGATGCCAAGGTGTCGCAGAGTGGCCGCCTTCATGCCCGTGTCCTCGAATCGCTCCATTGGAATTGCGTAGCAGCAGCAACGACCATCGCCCCCCCCCCCTCCCGCCCGCGTGCAGACCACGTGGTGGGTCACCTGCCACACAGTGACAGCTGCCAGTGGGGGCACCCCTAGGCTCGACCGCACTGCCATCGACGCGACCTACCGGCAGTCTAATGCCCACTGGCAACCAGGTGCCGGGTTCCACCTTGTACCGCACGGAGACAGCTGCCACTGAGGGTGCCCTCAAACAAAAAGACAAAGATCCCCCATATAGCCTCAGCAGACTGTTGGGGCAAGTGCCGTTAGCGAGCACCTATGAAGGCCGGCACGGCAGACGAGGGGGTGGGTGTCCAACACCACGCCCGGCCACCTTTGTCTCTCTAATGGCGATGTTTACACATCGTACCATGAACTCATTTGAGGCTGAGTCGACCTAGGGGAGGCCCGGGACCGGTTCAAATTATCGTCACTGTTGGTGGCCGTGAGCAGGAATCGAACCTGGATTGCCAGGTTCGTAGCGCAGCGCGCTAACCGCTACACTACCGTTCCCCACTCAAACACACGCACATAGCAACGCGTCATGACGCGTATACACTCACACTGCACATCTGTCGCTTATACAACTCGTGACTCGTGTTGCCATGCGTGTGTAGTGACATAGAATTGGTCACTCAGCAGCATAGCGCTGGCTGCTGGCAGGGAAGGGGATCTGCAGCTACAGCAGCCCTGACTGACAGCAGGCCACGTGATCGACCCGAGAGCCCCGCATGTAGGCTCCAGAAGGGGGGCGTGGCCAGGGCGGAGCGAGGCCACGCCCTGGCCAGAGAGGATAAAAGGGGACCCCGAGTGGGAGCTCGGGGCTGTCGTTTGGAGTGGGATCCCCGTCGTCGTCGCTGCTGAAGATCGTCGCCATCGTCGCTGTCGTCTCCACTTGATAATTGCGCTGCTGGACGTAGTTGGAAGTCTCGGTTCAGCGTAGAGTTGCATGTAAGCGAGAGACAGAGAGTGCGTAACAGTGTAGGGTGTGTATTGTATAAAGAATTGCCTCCAGTAAGTTACGTCTCCAAGTCAGTCGCTACAAGTGCATGGTGTATGTATGCGTTCATATGTGTGTGTGTGTTGTGGAGAGCGGTGGTACAGCGGTTAAGGCGCTAGCGCTACGAACCCGGTGACCCGAATTAGATTCCCACTGACGACCAACAACAGTGGCGAATATTTGAAACGATCCCGCGCCAACCCCAAAGGTCGACTCAGTTTCAAATGAGTACCTGGGGCGGTGTGTAGTCGACACACATTTGTGTAACGCTACAGTGGTTTGTACTGAGCGCTATAAATAACGCAAAGCGTTGAGTGCTGGTTGAGTGTTGGGGGTTACATCGTGGGCTGCCCGCTGCTACTGATAGGGTCAGTGGAGGGGGCTAACGGCACTTGTCCCAAAAGTATGTTGAGGCTATACGGCGACCTTTGCCTTTGTCGCTGCGCTCTTGCGAATGTCTCGTGCATCTGACGAGCCTTGTCATTCCGCGCTGGGGGGAGGGGGTAAACATCGATCACAGAAGTTCCTTCGCCTCGTTCTCCGTCTAAATTCATTCGCCGGCTCCCCGGAGACCCCCGAGTTCCCGAGGCGCGAGGGTGGCGCGGTGATTGTCGCGCTGCGCCGAGAACCCAGTGATGAGACGACTTCGATTCGCAGCCACGGCGAGCATCACCTGCGGGGGTGGAGGGCGGCATCTCGATCGGTCATGGGCTTCCCATTCACTTCACCAGCGCGGTGAAGTGAATGTTCAATCAGCCTATCATCCTGTTGGAGTGGGTGGGTGTGGGTGGGGGGGGGTCGATAAAATCGGTACTATTTTGCGGGTGAATTTGGCAGTTGTTGTCCTTTATGGGTAGAGGAACGTGGAATGTTCACTCCTGGCACTGCAGGGCGACGAGACGGGCACCAATGGCCTCAACAGTCACGTGAGCTGAAGATCACCTGGACTTGTGGTCAGTTCTGTCTCAGACCCCCCACCCCCCCACCCCCAGCCCCCGCACGCGTGTGGTATGGAAGGTCGATTACAACAATCAATTGTCCGCGCGGTTCGTTACAAATGAAGTACTTGACGGCGCGCTCCGCCATCAATAATCGCCGCTTTAAGTGAGTAATGGGAGACGCCGCAGTAAACGCCGCTCCCATGCCGGGTCGTGCGCACGCGAGACAGAGAGAGCGAGAGAAACAGAGAGAGAAGGCGAGAGGGAGAGCAGAGCGTGAAATCTATTGTGAAATCTTTCATTTGAAAAGGGGTGGGAGGGGGGGGGGTTACATAAAGAAAAGCATTAAAAACAAAAACGAAAAAAAAACAGAAATTATGAACGAAGCAAAGTGTCGACTACACCGAGCATCTTCTTGTTTCCTCTGATCGTAAAAAAGAGAGAGAAAGCAAGAGAGAGGGTGAGCGAGAGTGAGCGAGAGAGTGTCATCCTTGCGCAGGGGCCATGCTAATCTTCTCTGTATCGTTCCAATTTTAGTATATGTACTGCCGGAGCAAGTACTGAGAGTGAGAGAGTGAGAGAGGGTGAGAGTGTGAGCGAGAGGGTGAGAAGGGTGAGAGAGAGTGAGAGAGTGAGAGAGGGTGAGCGAGAGAGCGAGAGAGTGAGAGAGGGTGAGAGAGGGTGAGAGAGTGAGAGAGGGTGAGAGAGTGAGAGAGTGAGAGAGGTGAGAGAGTGAGAGAGTGAGAGAGGGTGAGAGAGTGAGAGAGTGAGAGAGGGTGAGAGAGTGAGAGAGGGTGAGAGAGGGTGAGAGAGTGAGAGAGGGTGAGAGAGGGTGAGAGTGAGAGAGTGAGAGAGTGAGAGAGGGTGAGAGAGTGAGAGAGGGTAGAGGGTGAGAGGGTGAGAGAGTGAGAGAGGGTGAGAGAGTGAGAGAGTGAGAGAGGGTGAGAGAGTGAGAGAGGGTGAGAGAGTGAGCGAGAGAGTGAGAGAGGGTGAGAGAGTGAGAGAATGAGAGAGGGTGAGAGAGTGAGAGAGGGTGAGCGAGTGAGAGAGGGTGAGAGAGTGAGCGAGAGAGTGAGAGAGGGTGAGAGAGTGAGAGAATGAGAGAATGAGAGAGGGTGAGAGAGTGAGCGAGAGAAAGCGAGAGAGTGAGAGAGGGTGAGAGAGTGAGAGAGGGTGAGAGAGTGAGCGAGAGTGAGCGAGAGCGAGACAGAGAGCTCGGTAATAACTGCGAGCAGAGCTCGTCTCTCTGGCTAAAGCCGGCTCCTAATGAACGCTGCCGAGCCGTGAGTTTTTCCTCTCTCTCTCTGATGAAGATGAATTGGGGGGGGCGCTGGTTCCCGGGGGGGGGGGGGGGGGGAAAGCCGCGCGCGACGGGAGCGGGTCACGGGGGAGATTCCGGAGCGGATTTACGAATTTCGCCGTTCCTGTGACGGGGCCCGTAGGCTCGCTTACAGAGAAAGGGAGAGTGGGTGGGGTGGGGGGGTGAGTGGGATGACGGGGGGGGGGGGGGCGCAATCAGTCGCGGGCGCAGTCTGAGCAAGCTGGTCAATGCCCAGCAGCAGCGTCTCCCCCCCTCGCCCCCACCACCACAACCCCCACCCCCCCCCCCCTTTACTCTCGCCCCCTCCCCACCGCGGCCCCCCCCCCCCCCCTGCCAGTTTGATTTCTCTCGCCTCAGATTGGCGGACAGGTGAACAGCTGTGCTCATTAAAAACGCAGTCCCACCCCCCTCCTTTAGCCAACCCCCCCCACCTTACCCCCTCGCGATTAGACGAGCCTCAGGTGCCCCCCCCTCCCCTGCCCCCCCCCCCCCTCGATAGGGACGGGGCCTCGGGGAGAGGGTGCCGTGCGATAAATGACTCGGCTCCTAGCGACTCCTCCAGCATAATCAATAGTCACGATTCGATAAAATATTTTATTTATATATATAGTGTAGCTCACAGAGGTAGCAGCGATCGCGTGAACCCGATGACGTAGAGCAAATATACTCAATCACCGGCGACCAGTCGCCTCCTTATCACTCTTCTAGCGCTACTGCCACAGTTCGATTCATTCTGCGTTCACCCACCGCGGCCATGCAGGTCACAACGGCACTCACCCACCAACTCACCCACCCACTCACCCGCCCACTCAACCACCAACTCACCCATCCACTCAGCCACCAACTCAACCACCTACTCAACCACCAACTCACCCATCCACTCACCCACCAACTCAACCACCCACTCACCCACCCACTCACCCACCAACTCACCCACATACCCACCAACTCACCCACACACTCAACCACCCACCCACTCACCCACCCACTCAACCACCCACTCACCCACCAACTCACCCACCTACTCAACCGCCCACTCACCCGCTCACTCACTGCACTGCAAGTCACCTCACTTCTCTCTCCGCTGCTGCTGCTGCCCTATCACCGCTCCGCTGTGGAATTTCCTCCCCCCATCATCATCACCCCCAATCCCTCACCTCTTACAACAATAGCAACCTGGCTCGCTTCAAGGCACGCGTGGCGCACTCTGATCCATCGCCACTCCGATCGTGCTGTTTGTTGCTGCCCGCTTGTCGTGCTCGGCAGCTGTTTAAATTGTTTTTATTACGAGCGAGAGACGAATCGGTAAACGTGCGTCCGCTGTGCGTAGGGCGACAGACGCCGTCCCATGATGGCGAGAGTCAGTGCGGTCCCTCGGTGGCTGCGACAGCCCGAGTGGAGGAGGAGGAGTTTGCAGCGTGGTGGGCGAGTGTTGTTGTTGTTACCTGCTGTGCGTCGTTGTTGGACACAGTGTGGTTGGTTGGTGGTGTTGGTGGTGGTGTTTGAGGAGCGGTGGGTGTAGTGGTTAGCGCTACGCTGCGCTATGAACCTGGCCACCCGGGTTCGATTCCCGCTCACGGCCAACACCAGTGACGATTATCTGAACCGGTCCTGGGCCTCCCCTAGGTCAACTCAGCCTGAAACGAGTACCTGGTGCGGTGTGTAAACATCGCCACTGGGGAGACAAAGGCGGTCGGGCGTGGTGCTGGCCCACCCATAAGTGCTCGCTAACAGCACTTGCCCCTACAGTCTGTTAAGGCTATACGCGGGGATCTTTGTCTTTGTTTGAGACGACACAGCCTGGTAGAGACCGAGTCCTCGGTCTCTCCCAGGAGCTAAGTTCACGGCACAGCAACCAGGGTGGTAGTGGGGACGTAGTTGCGAGTAGCGAGAGAGCGCAGTGAATCAGTGAGTGCGGGTTCATCAATCACGCACGCCGCCGATTGGAAGAGGCGATCAAGCTGGCGGCCGCGTGCCGCACTGGCAGCTGTCAAGAGCCTCCTCCACTGTCGTCCCCGCGGCTGCTTCGGCGCCGAGCCGCTGGCTATGACAGCCGGCCACGATCTGGCGCCTCGGGGCTGCTGTCGTCGACGTCGTCGTCTTCGTCAACGCGCCGCGAGTCGAAAGGAGCCGCCCGCGATAGAGTCGCACAGATCGCTGAGTCGTCACTCACCCCTCCCCCCTCGTCACTCTTCCCCCCCCCTCCTCGTCACCCCCCTCCTCGTCACTCACCCCCCCCCTCGTCACCCCCCCCTCGTCACCCCCCCCCTCGTCACCCCCCCCCCTCGTCACCCCCCCCTCGTCACCCCCCCTCGTCACCCCCCCCTCGTCACTCACCCCCCTCGTCACCCCCCCCCTCGTCACCACCTCCCCCCCCCGCCACCACCGTTGGGGGCCTGGGGATCCATCAAGGCGATCCCAAGAACCCCACCCCCAACTTATCCCCCTCCCCCTCCCTCCCTCTGCTCTCCGCGTGGCTTGCGCGGTCCTGATAAGCGCGGCCTCAATTTGTTACGGCGAGTGGGGGAGGCGGGCGGGCGGAGGGGGGCCGTGAGAGGGGGCGGAGGGAGGGGGTATGAGGAGGTTGATCCGGGTTTCTCAGAGTGGGGGGGCGAGGGGAGGGGCGAGGAAGAGGCGGGGGTCGTGAGGTTGCGGCCAACCGCAAATCTCCCCTCCCCCCTCCCCCCTTTCCCCTTCCCCCCCCGTCCCGCTCTCCCCCCGAGTTCCCCGCACCGTCTACAGTGACCCCCTCCTCCCCCCACCCGCACCTCTTGCCCCGCATCCTTCTCCCAGCAATTAACGCGCCTCGCAAAGTGTTTCCGAACCATCGACACATTACTTCACCCCCCTTCCCCCCTCGTTCTTCACCCCCACCCCCTCCTTCACCCCCACCCCCTCCTTCACCCCCACCCCCTCCTTCACCCCCACCCCCTCCTTCACTCCCTCCCTCCTTCACCCCCACCCCCTCCTTCACCCCCTCCTTCACCCACTCCTTCACCCCCACCCCTCTCCTTCACTCCCACCCCTCCTTCACCCCCACCCCCTCCTTCACCCCCACCCCCTCCTTCACCCCACCCTCTCCTTCACCCCCACCCCCTCCTTCACCCCCACCCCCTCTCCTTCACCCCCACCCCCTCCTTCACTCCCACCCCCTCCTTCACCCCCACCCCGTCCCTCACTCCTTCCCCTCCATCCCATGCACCGACGTTCTTCCTGCCCCCCCCCTCGCCCCGTGACCCCCCCCCTCGCCCCGTGACCCCGCCCCTCCCCGGGAGTGGTCTCAGCCGCGGCGTACGAATCGCAAATCCGCGCGCGTTGTTTTTGTGCCCAGAGGTTTTATTTGCGCATTGATCCTCATAACGCGGCGTGAGTGGCGCGCGTCTCCAGCTCCCCCCCCCCCCCCGTTCCCTGGGCGCTCTCCTCCCAGAGCAATCCTCGCTCTCTCCCCACTCTCTCCCCGCTCTCTCCCCGCTCTCTCCCCGCTCTCTACTCGCCCTCCCCCCCGCCCACTCTCTCCCCACTCTCTCCCCCACTCTCTCCCCGCTCTCTCCCCGCTCTCTCCCCGCTCTCTCCCCGCTCTCTCTCCTCTCTCTCCGCTCCCCCCCCCCGCCCACTCTCTCTCCCCTTTCTCTCTCCACTCTCTCCCCACTCTCTCCCCGCTCTCTCCCCGCTCTCTCCCCGCTCTCTCCCCGCTCTCTCTCCTCTCTCCGCTCTCTCCCCCCCCCCCGCCCACTCTCTCCCCACTCTCTCCCCACTCTCTCCCCGCTCTCTCCCCACTCTCCCCCCCCCCCCGCCCACTCTCTCCCCTTTCTCTCCCCGCTCTTTCCCCGGTCTCTCCCCTCTCTTCCCACTATTTCACCGATACCCCCCGCCCCCCGCCCCCTCTTTTTGCTCTCTCTTTTTTATGATCAGTGGAAACAAGAAGATGCTCGGTGTATTCGGCACTTTGCTTCGTTCATCATTTCGTAATTTTTTTTTATAACTTTGCTTTATGTAAACCCCCACCTCTCGCTCGCTCTCTCGCTCGCTCTCCCGCTCGCTCTCCCGCTCGCTCTCCCGCTCGCTCTCCCGCTCGCTCTCCCGCTCGCTCTCCCGCTCGCTCTCCCGCTCGCTCTCCCGCTCGCTCTCCCGCTCGCTCTCCCGCTCGCTCTCCCGCTCGCTCTCCCGCTCGCTCTCCCGCTCGCTCTCCCGCTCGCTCTCCCGCTCGCTCTCCCGCTCGCTCTCCCGCTCGCTCTCCCGC